ACCATTAGACAGCTTAAGTTTCCAAATACAAGACAGCAATGGCAAATATGACTTCACCAACCTTTTTGCGCACACTGCAGCGATGACACATCCAGTCACCAGGGGGCAGCATCTCTCTGCTCAAAGGTGGATTACTGTGAAGAATCAAATGTTTATTACTTTTACAAATCCTGATGTGTTTAAAAGCACAACAATGCTTTTTACACATTTTAAATGTAAATTCTCCGTAGAAATAAAGATTTTTACATACAGTTAAAGCTTACAGGTTTTATTCAAGTGCTAGATGCAAAGAAAATCACAACGCAGCAATCACACTGAAACCGTCTAGGTCTCACCAAATCTACAAGTTAAAACAGGCTGAACCACAAGGATGCTTTGCAGTCTTTAGGTTGCATGTTGCAAATGATGCAACGTTACTGATATTCTACAAAAATGTAAATAAATTTTTTTTTTTCATCTTTGCCAAGCAGGCATTATAGACCAGCTTTATATTACATTAGCCAAGAGAAAGGCTGGATCGATTTTATGTGAAGCACATCCGAACAAATCTCCCCTCAGGATAGGAGAGTTGTTGAATAACAATACATTTACTTCCCTTTAGTGATAAGCATAGGACTATAGCAGTAAAAACTAGGAGTTTGCATTAAACAGCCATCAAATTAGGCAGGAGTGATTCCATCCAAACAAAGCCTCTATGATAAATTATAAGACACTGCTGTGGCTTCAGAATGAGAGAAGTAATGAGTGTAACTATACAGAAAACAACCTGTAGGTTTTTTTTTTGTTCTTAGGGGCATTAATATTTTACTTCAAGCACAGGCTGTCAGTGTTAAGCAGTAAAGTGAACAAAAAACTTTTTAAATGCCCATTTCTAGGCATTTTTGGTTGTTGTTGGATGAGGAAGTGGTGATGTGCACAAAAACAATATGCACTGTAAGCAATCATAAAATCTACATTGATTATGTGTGATAAGTTTTCAGCGTTAAAGGGATAGTTCACCCAAAAATGAAAATTCTGTCATCATTTACTCACCCAATTTTTGGGTGAACTATCCCTTTAAGTTTCTACATGGGACAACTGTCAAACTGACTGTAGTTTTTGTGACAGTAATATTAAGCAGCGAAAATGTTTTAAACACTGATAAGAAGAAGAAATGCTTCTTGAGCACCAAATCAGCATATTAGAGTGATTTCTGAAGAATCATGTGACTGTGAAGACTGGAGTAATTGCTGATGAAATTTCAGCTTTGCCAAAGTAATAAATTGCATTTTAAAATATATTACAATACGTTATTTTAAATTATAATACTATGTCACAATTTTACTGATTTTACCATATTTCTGACCAAATAAGTGCAGTCTTTGTGAGCATTAGAAACATTTCAAAAACATTTTTCCTAAAACTTTTTGTTCCTAAAACAACAAATCCTAAAACTTTTGAACGATAATGCATGTCATTTAATGTTTTGTTACAATTTGCTGTAAGTTGCTGCAATTTACTGTAAGTTCATAAATACATTTGCTATAAAATAACTGCATATGGTACTAACCACAACAACTAACTTAATGCTTCCATGACCTCCACCTCACACTCTTAATCCTCATCAGCCAAGAAGATAACAATCTCTGTGACCTTTAAAAATCAGCAGCATAAGCAGACTTGTACACCCACACATGGAAACGCATTGCAAACATACCAGCACTGCAGGTGAAAAGCAGCGGGACAGTGATCGCAGCAGAGCAGATCTCCTCCCTCACGGCAGCTATCGCAGGTGTCATGGTTCGTGGCTCGGCCTCCTCTTCTGGTCTCCCTCTCTGGTTTGCGTCTCTTCTCTCCATCCTCAGAGCGTGGAGGTGCGAGCAGCTGTTGAATTTGCTGGAACAGATTGGCAAATATATTTTAAGCATGCATGTAGTCACACAAAAGATCTCCTGACAGGCGTCAATGGAGAGCTGCTTCACACATTAAACTGGTGTTTCCAACCCTACCATTGCACATTTTGGATATTATACTAATCTGAGAGACACACACACAATGCAAAGGGTGACATTAGAGAGACCCCCAAATCATGCAGTCCAGGGGGGCCTTAAGGACCACTGCATTCAACTATAAGGTCATTAAACTTTTTTCCCATGTCAAATCAGATCTATCTGAATATATATATACAGTTTTGTCTTCGTTTCTACTTTCCAGACAGGCAATGTCTGCACCAGGCCCTGGCCAGCTCTGCATAAACTCACCAAAGCAAATGTCCACAAACGACTGATTTCCATTCTGCAATTTGTTATTATTATGACTCATTTAATCCTTAATACAGGCATATTTAACTCACACAAGACAGTGATTCGAGGCACAGCTGAAGGGCAGACAGGCTTACCTCCATTAGGCCCCCAGACGTGTCCAAATCGTACAGAATCTTCGGGGTCTCCATTTTGTCCCACATTCACACTGCTAAAATATAGCATGAACACACAATCCGACAGCAGTTCTCGCGTTCTCCAAACCCAGTCGGGTTAACTTGCTGTCTTTAAGCCGTTCTGGAAATATTAAACGGGTCGATAATCTAACAAGATAGCGGATTGGCTGCTCGATGTTCGGCTAGCTAGCAGCTATCAACAAACAAAAGCACAGAGCTCGCCAGATGTCTAGTGCTAAACGAGAGCTGACGAATCGCTCAAACTCTCGTTTAAGTGCAAATATCGTTCCTATTTTGAATGCGAGCTGCTGTCTGGTGCAGTATTGAAGGGTTCCTGTGGGATGTAAAGGCCTAGCTCGCTAGCCTAGCAGCATCCTCTGCTTCAGCAGCAGCCGCCTGCAAATATGCTTGTAGAAATCCACAGCTGTCTGTCCCCATCGCATACTGACTAAAAAAGCGCTCGCTGTCGCAAAGTAAGTCTGCTGGATTGATTGTCGGCGGTTGGGTCCTCATGTGCAGAAACACTCGTGGATGGCGCTCAGATGACAGCAGTGAAGACCAAAGGTGTTGTTATGAAAAGCCATTGCTAATAGCTATGCTAACTGGCTGGCGTTGCCCTCCTCTGACTCGACTCTAGCGGGGTTGGAATGAAGTCTGCGCATGCGTACTGAGACGCAAAGGGGAACGGCTCCCCCTAGCGTTAGTCTGACAGAACAACACAAACTCTCCAAGCCTGCAGGCCATGTTTTCTCTAAAGCACAGCGAAAGGTATTAGCCTACAAAAAGGAAAAAGTTTATGAAGAACAAATAAAAACAGCACAATCTGATGGAATATCCTTTTTAATTGAAGATATGCTATGACAATGTTGTGGTAAATAATTACAGTACAGTGCAACCAAGTAAAAATATATCATTTTGGACCATGATAATCCTAAACAGCCAAGTCCCTTGCAACTTTTAAGACAGATTCCTTCTGTGAGCGCTTTACTGAATCCCTCAAAAATAAATACATAATAAATAAAAATAAAATAAAATAAACTCAAACTACACTGTTTTTTTTCTTCAATTTAATATGAATGTAACGCCTGTAACTATATCAGAGTTATTGATGTTGCTCTGACTTCCAATAAATGTTGTTTCTTAGGTTCCCAAACTCTGTTGTTTAGTTGGAGACAGTGAAACACTGAAACATACACTCACGATGCAAGTCTGTCATGTGACCAATTGTGATGTTTTTGGCAGCTTTTGCTAGTTACATTGAAATGACAATTTTTCAATCAATACAGACAACATTCATATGGGGACCAAGTACATAACTGTTTTAGATGATCCATTTAATTGACATTAACAGTGTGAAATGATGAACAAAGATCTATTCTATAATAGATAAACCTCATATATACATACATGTAAGCCATATCTAATACAAATTGTATGTACATTCTTAGATATTTATATATTAAGAGTGCCTGCTGAAAGAGTACAGTCAGTTGTTATTTTATTTCATAATATGTATAAAAACATACAAAAATAAACGGAAACCAAAAAATAGAGCCAATTGATCAGTGAAGGAGGGATGATTTACAAGAACTTTATGTACAAAGATTTTTACTTTTGGCCAACTCAACCAAAGCTGAATTTAACACAAATAGAGACTACTTCCCCAGCAGTCTTTTGTTTGACTGTACACACAGGCAAGTCATAAATAAGGTTAACATAAAGGCTTGAGTCCACCCCAATGAAACAGGGACCCACTTCACATTACTGGATACAATATGTACCAGTTTTCATGCAAAATACTACACTTCATGAAACTGGTAGATGTTATTTGAAGGTTTATAATCACAGCTTTTGTAAGTAACGCATTTCATTTTCATGGTGTGGAAAAAACAAAAACAAAACAAAACTGTAAACCATGCATAGGTTTAATTGATCAATAGTTGCTGAGTTTTACATAATTGTTTTAAAGAACGTTTATTTTTTCCTGCATGGAGGTGTTCAGGTGGGAAATGTTATGATTATATTTGTGACTAGTTCATTTGGATAAGAACTCCAGATACAATAACAGTTTGGAGTCAGTCAGATTTAAAAAAATAAATAAATTAATATATTTATTCAGAAAGGATGCATTGAACAGCTCAAAAGTAAAAGTAACAATACTTTTACATTGTGGGAAAATTCTATTGCAAATAAAAGCTGTTCTTTTCAACATTCTATTCTTCAAATAATCCTGAAAAACAATTATCAAGCTTTCCACAATATATGAGCAGCACAACTGTTTTTAGCATTGATAATAATAAGAAAGAAAGTTTCTGAAGGATCATGTGACACTGAAGACTGGAGTAATGGATGCTGAAAATTGAGCTTTGCCATCATAGAAATAAATTTAATGTTAAAATCTATTCAAATAGAAAACACAATAATACTTTACAATAGTACTGTTTTTAATGTATTTTTCAAAAAAATAAATGCAGTCTTGGTAAGCATTAAAAGTCTTTTTAAAAACATGAAAAAAATCTTACAGACTCCAAACTTTTAAACGGTAGTTTATGTCATTGCTATGGAAACCCATTTCTGCCTGAAAATTAACAGGTAATTGTAACTTTATTTGTATTTTGTTCAATTACATTATATGTGAATTTATATCATTTTGTTTATATTTCACAAGTGCAACTATTTCCTGTGCTTGTGATTTACTTAAATCTTACGATGTAACTTTACATGTGAATTTTTTGGAGAGGGGGCAGGAGGGGTTGTGAGTGCAAAAGTGTGACACTTAAAAACAAATAAAAGAAAAAAATCTGTTTAGCGAGACATCAATCTCCTAAATAACATATACTCCCCTATTATCAGTCTTTTTTTTTTTAATTCCTTAATTTGGCTCAATTACGGGTAAAAACTGTACAAGCAATTCTGCTAGGCCATGGCTATTGAAGCTCTACAAAAATAATATCATGTTGTCCACACTCTTCGCTCGCGGAAGTCCTCAGAAGCAAGGTGATATTTACAGCAGATGGGAAAAGATGAGAAGGTAGGTGAGATTAAGAGCAGAGTTGGCTACACAAGATGTGAGAGGAACTGAGAGATCTTCCACAAGGCAGAGAAAGGCTTGCGGTCCTCCATGCTAAAACAAGCTTAAATGGAGACTTCGTACTCTCTTGTATCCTGCGGAACAAACAAACAAAAACACATCAAATATAATACATTTAACATTTATATGCATATATAATATTTCATTTTGTGAGGGGTAGCAAAACCAATGTTGGCTGCAAACACAATATGAAAGAGAGATGCTAAAGATGGAGACGCCCTACACCAGTGGTTCAAACCTTCTCAGCCTTGTCCATGTGATGCTATTCCATTGATCAACTCTCCTTACAGGCTCTTTCTTTACAACAGAATCCTAGAGAGTACCTCTGGTGGCTGCTTTGAATCATAGGTCTCTGTACAAATCAAAAATACCATGCAACTTAAGCATGAAAAAACGTAAAAATAATAATCAGCAATGGAAACATAATGGAAGGCTGAGGAAAAACGATCAGGCTACGTTGCTGGGAAAACAATGTGTGATTTATGAAGTGATATTGTGATGTTTTCACAAATAAACACAATGCAGATTTGTAAATGAGCATTTAAAAGCCTTCTGATGTTTATGAAAAATAAACAGCATGCTAAATCAATAACGCATATGAAAACAAACCTTTATAATCCTGAAATTAAATGTCCAAAATGTAATATTGATCAGCTATGCTTTTTGTAATCGCAGTCTTTTGTAAACCCAGATTTATCATGTCTTTCTTCACACCCGAGAGAGATGCTTGTGTTTGCATCATCTTCACATAATGCTACTATACCACTTCAGGGCATTAGTGCAAGAAGAAGCGGCACACATACATGCACAAACACATACAGCACACAGACACTCATCTGTCCAGCAGACTTTGCCCTGGGGGCCAGAAACTGTTATCGAGCGGTTTAGTATATGCAGGGAGTGAGCTGCTGCCTGCTGGGACTGTGTTATGAGTGCCACACCACACAGAGAGAGAGAGATCTTGAGGGACACTAGCACAGCACATAAGAGGTGCGAATAACATGCAGTCTGTAACGCATTGCTAGACGCAGGAGGCTTGGGGGAAAAGAGCATGTATCAATGTAAAAGTATTTACAGTCAAAATTGTTCCTCATTGTTCTTCAGGGATACAGATAGTGAGAGAGGAAAGAAAGTGCAATGTAAGTGATTGAGCAAGTTCATATATGTCACAAATCATCAGATCTTTTTTTTTTCTGAATTAAAGCGATAGTTCACCTAAAAAAAAATTATTACTCACTCTCATGTCGTTCCAAACCTGTATGACTTTCTTTTTTCCCATCCCAGATGCCAGAAATTTAGGGTTGGTATAAGATTTTTTTCTTTTCTTTTTTTCCCTTTTCTCTTATGCTCACAAAGACTGCATTTATTTATCAAGAATAGAGTAAAAACATTAACACTGTGAAATATTATTGCAATTTAAAACAACTGTTTTCTATTTGAATGCCGCTTTGATACTCAAGATGCTTTTCTAATTCGCTCAGTTTCCAAAATTCTAATTTTCTAAAGCTAGTACTAAGGGAACTATCCCTTTAGTAATATTTTTGTGAAAACAGTGATACATTTTTTTCAGGATTCTTTGATGAATAGAAAGTTTAAAAGAACATCAATTATGAGAAACAGAAGTCTTTTGCAACAATTTAAAAGTCTTTACTGTCACTTTTGATCAATTTAATGCATCCTTGCTGAATAAAAGGATTAAGTTCTTGAAAAAAATCTTACTGAACCCAAAATTTGGAATGGTATTGTAGATGAAAACAAATGAGACTTTTCACTTTTCTCTCTTTTGTCACTACTGAACAGTATATTGTCATAAGACCTTTATTACAGAGTCATACAGACTAGTTTTATGATGCCTTTTATGATATCGTATGATACTTTTACAGTATTTTTTTAATTCAACAGCAATGGTCCCCTTCCATTGGGAGATTGTGCTAAATGACTCCCTTTTGTGCTCCACAAAAGAAAGAAAAAGTCACACATGGGTTCGAAGCGACATGAAAGTAAGTAAATGATGACAGAATTTTAATCTGAATGTGAAATACCTTTTTTAGCTGAATGAATGTGAATATATTGAACAATGAGAGCAGGTGAAGCAGAGGTGGCTGGTGATATGCTAATAGACTACGCAATAATAAGGTTAAATGTGTCACTTCCTCTGGTGTTCTGGCCCAGTGATAAAACTGTGTGATCGCTAATGATGAAATGATGAGGGCGTGGCTCCGTGCGCCACTTCATTTCAACTCCAGAATGGCACTTTACAGCTAATTAGATAACAGAAATGAACCCACAATATGGCAACGCAGATGGCGTTCAAAGTGCAGATGTGCACCTGTAAGACTGAACACATGAGTACCTCTCAGTCCTTCCATGAAATATCACCACAAATGGATACGATGGGTGGGAATAGGTTTCTATTACAAGTGAGGAGGTGGTTGCGGATGAATGCAGCCTGTTGCTGAACACATGCTTTACTTACTGCAGTCTCGTAGATGGGGTTTTCAAAAGCTGACTCTCCTCTGATGTGATCGTATTGTGGTGATGTGGACATGGAGAGACGTAGAGACTTGCCTTGCACTCTGAGAACAAACATATGACAACAATTCATTTGACTTGCAATGGTCTAACCCACAGGAGAGACATTTGAACAAAACTAAAACATACAAATTTCAACCACATGGAATCTGCAAACAAATTATATTTGACTTCTTCTCACAACTAACGTCATTTAACTATAAAAGCTGTAATATTGTGAAATATTCTGATGATTTAAAATAACTCTTTTCTATTTGAATATATTTTGAAATTTAATTTATTCCTGTGATGGCAAAGCTGAATTTTTAGCATCTTTACTCCAGTCTTCAGTCTCACATGATCCTTCAGAAATCATTCTAATATGCAGATTTGCTGCACAAGAAACATTTCTTCTTATTAACAATGTTGAAAACAGTTATGCTGCTTAATGTTTTTGTGCAATCGGATCAAAAAAATTTTTTTGATGAAAAGAAAGAAAAAACATTTATCAAAAATAGAAATGTTAATGCATTCTTGGTAAATAAAATATACATTTATTTAAAAACAAAACAAACAAAAAAAGCTTACCTTGAAAAGTAGAAATATATTGACATGATGATAATTATGATTACGGCCACTGGGATAAAAATGGAAACAGCCACACTGGCTCCCTCCATACTGAAATCTGCACTGGCCACTGATTTGGGACAAAGTATAGCAAATACATAAAATAAGTTAAGCTGTATACCTGTGAAGACAAATTTATGTGCATTTCTAAGATGTTCTTACCATCCAGTCTGTGTTCATCTATGTACTCCATTGTTACCGCTGGGAAAAAAGCGAGAGCTTTTAACAAATGAGAAAATGTTGCTTGTCATACCAAACTATTCAAAACAAACCCTCCCTACCCTGAAGAGAAACAACATATCAATAAATAAACATCCACTGCAGACAGGAAAGAGACCTTATATGAATGATATAGTATGCAGATCACACATCATGAACACTGCAAAACACACAGACTACCTTTGCACAGCGGGGGTGGAAGGCTCCATTTGGAAGGATGCCCGGGGACACAGCGGAGAACAGGCTCACCCTGGAGCTCATACCCACTCATGCAGGAGAAGCGCACCGTTTCTCCAGCCTGATACACATGCTTCTCTGAGCTCTGAATGGTATAGGGAGGAGTGCCGGGGTTCCTACACGGCTCATACGAATCAGCTATATAACACAGATATACACACATCCATAAATATGGATTAGGTAATTGTACACTAATTACTTCTGAAAATAAAAATGAAAACAAAGCAAAGCAAAACAAAACAAAAAAAAGAAAAGAAAACAAATACAGTTTAGTTAGTTCTAAACTACTACTTTCTTTAAGCAGAATGAGACACTGTAAAGAAAACAAAACAAAACTAAGCAAAAAAACTAACAAAAACAAAACAAAACAAAACAATTTAGTTAGTTCTACACTACTACTTCTGTAAATAGAATGAAGCCTGGTAAACAAAACAAAAAAAACAAAACAAAACAAAAACAAACAAACAAAACTAATACAGATGAACTAGTTTATTATTTACCTGAAATAGAATTAGACTTTGTAAACAAAAGAAAACAAAAGAAAACCAACCAAACAAAATTACATATAATAAAAGGAAAATATGGATTTGTTAGCTATAAACTATTACTTTTTACACACATTCACAAATATGGATTAGGTAATTCTATACTAACTACTTCTGAAAATAGAATAAAACAGAACAAAACAAAACAAAACAAAAGGAAAAGAAAATAAATACAGATTAGTTAGTTCTAAACTACTACTTTCTTTAAAAATCCCCCCATATGATTATATATATGATATATAAATGCCTCGTTCATTAATTAATTAATTAATTAATTAATTAATTTGTTCGTTCGTTCATTAGTTCATTCATTTAAACAGAGTCCTTGCAAACAAAACAAAACAAAACAAAACAAACAAACAAACAATAAAACAACTAATACTGATTATTTAGTTTAAAACTATTTCCTATAAATAGAATTAGACTTTGTAAACAAAAGAAAAGAAAACAAATACGGATTTGGTATTTCTAAACTATTACTTTTGTAAACAGAATGAAACATTGAAAAAAACAACAACAACCAAGCACAAAACAAGCATGGATTAGTTAGTGATATACTACTACTTTTGTGAATAGAATGAAATCTTGTCATCAAAAGAAACCCAAACCAACCCCCCCACCCCAAAAATAGAACTTCTAGGGATTACTTTGTTTTATTACTTTATGTCTGTAAAGAGAATGAACAAATTTTGACAAAATGTACAATAAAATAAACATTAAATGTGCACTCTGTGGGTTTTTCTTAATGTTTCAATGCTTATACTGTAAACTATACTGTAAAGACTTGATTACAAGTTTAAATCACAAATCATTTTATGCAGTTAACACCCATATGTGTGTGTATCTGTAGGTGTATATTTGGGATTATTTGTGAATAAAATCATGTTCTCACGAATGCATTTGGGCAGTTTCTCGCTCCATTTGGGGCCAGTGGGTGGGTTTTTCTTAATGGTTCAATGCTTATACTGTAAACTATACTGTAAAGACTTGATTACAAGTTTAAATCACAAATAATTTTATACAGTTAACACCCATATGTGTGTGTATCTGTAGGTGTATATTTGGGATTATTTGTGAATAAAATCATGTTCTCACGAATGCATTTGGGCAGTTTCTCGCTCCATTTGGGGCCAGTGGAGTCACGGTGGTAGCAGGAGAGCAGGCTGTTTCCTGACAGCGAGTAGCCTTTGTTACAGATGTACTGGACAGTAGAGCCCACGATTAGACGCGGGCCTGACATCACCCTGCGACTGTGCTCCACCGTGCCTGGGTCTGGGCATGACAGGACTGGCAAAAAATAGCAACAGGTCACAGAGTTTATTGTTTATATTGAAACAATATTTGGAGTTTGGTATATTCAGTACTGTATATCATAGATCTATTATGATATATGACTTTGTATATCAATAATGATTATTTTAATAGTTTTGTAATGTAAGCATAATAATAAAATATGTAAATACATTAATATGGCACTATATACATGCTATTATGAGTCGCAATTAAAATATTACATTATATATTGCAATATTCAAGAACTCTATATCCCTATTATATTGTAGTTCTTATTTTCACCTCAGGGTGGCACCAATGACTTACATACAAATATTTGTTGAGCAAACAATGCTTTTGGATCAGAATTGTTAACCATTTTACTTTCTAATTCATGCAGTTTTTACATCTTTTACATATTATATTAGCTTTTTACATTACTATTATGCATTTAAATATCAATATAAAATACATTTTAACAGTATGCTTTCTGGTTTCTCTGTTCTTCACATTTCACATCATACTTGTGGTTCCACAAAATCAGAGTGCCAGGAGCCACCGCTCATCTCATCCAGAAAGTATGAGACACGAAGAACATGTGACTTTGATCTCAGGGCAGTGTACCGACACCCAGTGCAGTATAATAAAAAGATTACTTCGCTCCTGCCTGCCCAGCTGCAAACCCAATTCTCTCCTCAGCAGTAGAGGGGCAGGAAAATGGGACGAGAGAGGCGAGTGAGTTAATGATGTTTGCGTGGCGGGTGAGAAGCTTTGAACCGGATAACGGTCCCCGCTGCTTTTGGCCTGCTGTTGCTGCTACAGTTTTTGTCATGGACAGCGGCAGAACCTGGACCCCGGGGTCATTCGGTCTCCTGTCTGCTGATACTTGAAACGACGAATGTCTGCGGACGTCCTGGGAGCCTGCAGTATTACGCACTCACACAGAGCAAGTCTGAGCAACACAATAGCCAGGCGACGAGATTTCATTTCAAGCACTGGAGTGACTTTGGCAAGTCGCGGAGCTGCCCTGTTTTAAAATTTGTTGATGAAACACTCCGTGCATCAGCGGGACGCCATTGTGGTCTCACCAAGGAGGCGGAGAGCGAAATAAAAATTCTTGCAAAATCACAAAAATCACTTAAGGTGGGAGCAAAGAGAGGAAGATGCACCGAGACTGTGAAGCGAAACGACACCTACTTCCTGCGTGAAGTCGCCCTCGAAAGAAAAGTGAGTGATTACCCACAAAGCCCTCCTTCACTCTTCGCCTGTCCTTGCAGAGGCGAACAGGCACTTGTGAAATTCCCCCCTCAAATGGAATTCAAAAGCTCATCTAGTTTCGGAGCACAGGATTGCTCTTGATCAATAGGCAGTGCGTGTTGGTTTGGAAGTGAGGTGAAAATGGATTTTAGAGAGAGTGGTTATCATCGTGAGTGTGTGTGTGTTTTCACCTCTTTCACAGCTAGGCAAGTCTCCGCTCCAGGTCAGGTCCCACTGACACATGAGCATTTCGGTGCCCACCACCTCAAAGCCTGGGTAACACTGATAGGTCACCACCGTGCCGTGCACCAGATCAGGGTGAGATGTGGTCTTCCAGCCGTTGGAGATCTCCGGAAGCTCTGGACAGGTGTCGTTACGGGGAACCTCTGCAAAGAGGAACATTTTATCACTCTGTGGTTGGTCTTTCGTGACTTAATCTTGCTGCATCAACTTTTTCCTCAGATATGTCTCCTAAAATACCTCAGGAGAAATTGAATCAAATGAGACAATGAATGTTTGCATAACAGATTATTTGGTTTGGTTGGGAAAAGTATTTGAGATCATATGACAATCCTTCACTTTTGATTGCACACTTTGGCATTTTAGTTTTATTTTAGTTTCTTAATTTATTTTTAGTTTCTTCATTTTAAATCTTAAAGGGACAGTTCACCCAAAAGTGAACATTCTGACATCATTTATTTACCCCATGTTGTTGCAAAACTGTATGACTTTTTCATAAATACACTGAAAATCACTGGTCACCAAAATGCCAAAATAGTTACCAATATTCACTGGTCACCAAAATACCAAAATAGTTACCAATATTCACTGGTCACCATTTATAAATAAATAAATAAATAAATAAATTTATTTATTTATTAATTTAATTTATTTTTTTGGAGAAGAAAGAAAGTCATACCGGTTTGGAACGACTTGAGGATGAATAAATGTTGACAGAATTTAAAGTTTTGAGTGAACTAACCCTTTAAGATTTTCAGAAGCGTTCTTAACATTGCACTTATATTTGTTAACAAGCCAAAGTTTGCAATCAAAAGTCAGAGATTATCATGTGGTCTCAAATATTTCTTATCAAATTATCCCAAACCAAATGAAATTAAGCAGATTTCAGAATTTTTCTCCATTTAATCTGACTGCTTTCTAAGAGGAAAGCAGTCATGAGACATCTGTGAGACATCTTTCATGTCATTTAATCTTATAATGTCTGAAAGATATCAATTGTTAGTGCACTCAAAAATGAATACTCATCATTTACTCATCCTCATCATTTACTCATCCTCATATAATTCCAAATACAAAATTTCATCTCTAGAACACAAAAGAAGTTATTTTGAACAGAGTTTTTTTTTTTTTTTGGTCCATACAATGGAAGTCACTGGAACTCAATGTTGTTTTTGGACCCCACTGACTTTCATTATATGGACAAAAACAGTTAAAACATTCTTCAAAATATCTTCTTTTGAGTTCCACTGAAAAAGAAAGTCATTCAGGTTTGGAATGACATGAGAGTATGCAAATGACAGAATTTTGGTCTATCTGTTTAATCAAAGGTCTCCTTTTCTTTCCATTTAATCTCACTACTTCTATATGGAGAAACACTTGAAACATCTGTGAGTTCTCACTTGTTATTTTCTTTCCTGTAAAGTAAGACTCAATTAGCTTGATTAGTGGAGCAAAAGTGAGGAAAAGAGAGACAGAATGTTCAATAATGCTTGCAAACAATTTCTTTGTTTCTCACCGTGTCCCTGAACAAACCACAGGTGTTGTGTCTAATGACTGATAAATCAAATGCTAGGAATCAGCTTGGCTGTGATTAAAAATTTGAATAGAGCAGCACAAGACAGCTGGCAGGCATTTTGCTGATGTCCATTCTTAGCGTGGCAGAGCTGGGGAGGGCACAGCACCCGGCAAATGCGGCTAATGAGTACAAACATGCACTGTAATTGTTAGCGTCTCTGCAAGGCCAAATCCCTGCACCTGCAGGAGCTGCCGCAGGAATCTTTCCTCTGTGCTGCATGAAGGAAATGGAAAAACAGTCCATTTCAGTCCTCTCTATGAATCATCTGCATTCCTCCACCCTCCAAATAGAACTTATTATATTTGATCTGATCTTGTGCAATAGTCAGCCACCAAGAGAAGCTGATGGAATGACCTTCACTTAATCCTCAGGAAAGGTGAGGACTAAACCAGTTGTGGCTCTCGCTTTTATAACCTCTCTCCCTCTTACGTTTCCCTATGGTATCTCAAATAAATCTCACAAGCAGATAATTAATGAGCTTCATCCAAGTGCATTTAGATGTTTGGGACCGGTAAGATTTTTTTTTTTCTTAGAAAAGGCTGCATTTATTTGATCAAAAATACAGTAAAACAGGAATATTACTACAATTTAAAGCAACTGTTTTCTTTCTGACTACATATTAGGAAGCAATTTATTCCTGTGAGGCAAAGCTGAATTTTCAGCAGTCATTACTCTTCAGTCTACAGTCTTCAGTGTCACATGATCCTTCAGAAATCATTCTAATATGATAATTTGGTGATCAAGAAACATTTCTCCTTATTAATAATGTTGAAAAGAGTTGAGCTGCCTAATATTATTATTATTTTGTGGAAATCATAATACTTTTTTTAGGATTCTCTGATGAACAGAAAGTTCAAAAGAACAGCATTTATTTGAAATAGAAATCTTTTGTAACAATATAAATGTCTTTACTGTCACTTTTGATTAATTTAATGCATTCTTGCTGAATAAAAGTATTCATTTCTTCAAAGAAATCTTCCTGTCACCAAACTTTTGAATGGAAAGTGCAGCAGAAATGGTTAAATAGGTCATTACCGAAAAAGTGCACCACAAAACCATTGTTGTAGCCGTAGATGTTGGTAGCAGGGTCCGACTGGAACTGAATGGTCACATCAGCCATGGAGGTGTAGAGTTTGAAGCGAGGACGGGAACCGCTGTACTGGCCCAGTATCTTTGCAGTCAGGTCATCTCCATCGTAAAAAGTCAGCATGTCGTTCTTTCCCATGTGGAGACTGTGAGCAGATAATATACAACAGGTCAATCCCAGACTAATCCTATCTCAGATGTTCAGGTCTCACCTCAAAGCAATACTAGGGGCCAAGGGACCTCCCCTCTAACATGTCTTCCTCTAGTTCTTATTTTCCGGCCTTACCGCTTTTCTCTTGCCCCTGCTGCAAATACAATCTTTTCTGCTGTTTAATGTTTTCCCACTGCTTTTGTTAAGCATTTTTGTGCATAGTTTCAATAGCTGTGCAATCACAAACCCCATTCATCTCACTCAGACTATAAAGAGCAAATGATTCAGCAGCGGGGGAAACAACTCCTCCTATCTCATGTTTGGAAATAGCTGGAAAATCAGTTTCCTGATATTCAGGAGCCAGAAAGAGAGGACATTTGGCAGTTTCCCTGTGGCAAATTCAAGAGAATCTCCATCACGGACATGCTTTGAATTATGTTGTGAAATTATTATAGATTTTACATTTTATAAAAAAAAACTTTATTACCATTTTAAATGTCCATTTTTCCAATTTATGAATTTATTAGGGTTACATTTATCCACATCCATGTCTTACACATCATCACTTCTAAGTTAAATTAAGAGGAGAATAAAATACTAAAAAGTTTCTTTCATTTTTACAATTGAAAACACAGGACAGAAACTTAAAATATTTGTATTACAGGTACAATACACTACTGTTCAAAAGTTATACTGAAAATACAGTAAAGAAATAATAAAAATAACAGAAATATTGTAATTGTAATTCTTAATTAATTCTAATAGAATAAAATGTATTACAGTGATGGCAATAAAATAACATTCTAAAATATTAAAACATTTCAAGAAGCAATTCAATTTAATGTTGAAAACAGAATTTCAGAATACTTTCAGAATTATATTATGAATATAAAGTTCAAAAGCATATCATTTATTTGAAATAGAAATCTTTATAAATGTTTTTCACTTTTTAAAATCAATTTAAGGCATTCTTGCTGAATAAAAGTATCAATTTCTTTAAAAATCAATAAAATTAAAAAATAGTACTGACCTCAAAATTTGAAAAGTAGTTTATATTTAATAGAAAAATTAGAAGGAATTTTCCATAGTCACTATAACTGTCTCTCTTATCCATACTTCAGTTTTGGATCATATCAAGTATAAAAGCAAGTTTCCATTTTTATACCTGAGGGGAATCCAAGCCTATTGCTCAAAAGCCTGGAGAATATATGACCTTCAGAGCACTTTGTACTGCCTTGAAGATGCCTGACAGCTTTACACAAAGGTGACAAAACCACAGTCTACAAAAGAAATGTCAATGAAAAGCTTTACCTTGAAATCATCTGCTTCACTGTTGCACAAATAATCAGCCTACACTATTGAGGTATATTACAGCATACATCTCTCCATTTCTACGTGAATGTGATCTGTAACTGTGGCTGACGTCCACCAAACCCAGACAGTCTGGCCAGTCACTGGTGGAGGGAGTGTGTTTCAGTCAGGCAGGGAGGGGGCATACACACTCTATCTTGTCACTAATTAATCACAAGTGGGCAGTAATGGAAGTCATTACTGAGGAGAGGGGAATAATTAATCATCTCCGTTCTGCTGCAGCACGAGACAGAATGGTTACATTCAAGCAAAATGAAGACAGGATGTTTAAATTATGGCTTACACGTGTGCGTGCACACATACACCTACTGTTACATATGGATTGAATGTATATTATTCAACTGTCAACAGCCCTCTAGTAGTGTATGCAGGAAAATCCGTGTATGCATTTCCACTGGGAGACACGTTTAAACCAGAAGAGCCCCTGACCCACTCTGAGGACCGGAGAGAGTGAAACTGTGTCAGCCCTTATTGGATTTGTTGTGATAAAGTTAAACAAGCCTTTGCGTAGCCGCACACCGTATCTGCCGAGAAAATCAATCATGCTTTCCATTTGCTGGCAGTAATTTCATTTTGTTTAATCACAAAAACAGGCTCAGCTTGACTTGGCCGACAACACAGCCGCCATCAGAATGCATTAAACTCTCATATAGGGCTCGCAGACACGTCGTCCTCTGCTCAGCACAACGAAAGGGAAGTGACAAATGCTGGCTTTTAAAAAAAAGAAATGTCAATCGAGACATTCTCTGCATCTCAGACATGGTTAAAATACGGTTCTGCTGGTGAAAGCCGTGAAGATGCATTTGATTCTGTTTGCTTGAGAGATAAATGGGAGTATTTTGTGGAGGATTTTGCATCTGGCGTTTCTTTGGAAAACTAATACATTATGATCCATCATCTGTCACGCAAACCGAGCCTATCTGTACCTATCTGTAATTTACATGGATGACAGGCCACTACTGAGAACAACTGTTTTCATGCGTCAGAGTGAACAAATTCTGAAGTGGCACGCAGAAGCCTGTCTTCCTTTCTCTGCTCCATGTCTGTTTAGCGGAGAATCATCTACCTGAATGATTGCCCTGCTGGAAAAAACACAATTTCCAATCAAATCCCCTTTGCCGAGGGCTGAGCACGATGGGCCTGTGCTCAACATACCAACAACAGCTTTGCGGCCAGGGCACAGTAACCCTGCGTGTCCTTGAAACATACAGTTATTTAAAGTAAAGCTAAATAAAAAAAAGTTGCACAGGAGTGCAACACAGTTTCAAATTCAAATGGTATTTAATGAAATATTAAAATGCAAAAAATGAAATTTATTTGATCAAAAATACAGTAAAAACAGTAATATTATTATATAACAGTAATTATTATTATTATGAAATAAATATATAAACCCTTTGAATCGTATACTGATCAAACGTTTTGAAATAATTTACATTTTTCGATTATTTAGAAAAAAAGTCTCTTATGCTCACCATGGCTGCCTACAGTAGAAACTGGAACATTCTGTAATATAATTAATATAAAAAGAACTACCATTTAGTGTTAATTTTGTTAACGAAAACTATAACGAAAAATGTTCGTTGACAAGCTTTTTTCCCATGACTAAAACAAGACAATGACTATGATCAATAAACGATAACTGTGACTATATCAAAATGCAGTATCATTGATGATAAAAGACGAAACTAAAATGTATTTAAAAAAATAAAAACTATACAAAAATCTCTTTTTATACTTGCCGAAAAAAGGAGACAAAATATTATCGCAGACTGCTGTACGTGCCTCTACTATGCGAGCTTTCATGTGTGCGGTTGCCAGATATCAAGAGTTCAAAACCCCAAATCAGAGCTTCTGTTAAAAAGATACATTTTCTGCTTGGTGTTTTGCTTAATTTTTGCAATCTGGCAACCATGTGCACACACTCGATTTTCATTACGGAATCCCCGACAATAATCTGAAAACACAGACAAGCAAGTAAGCTGCAGTTTAGCGATCTCCATGTGAGATGTTCAGCTTAAATGAAAGTGTTATGCAGCCTGTTTGTGTTCTGTCATGAGATCTCGTCTATTTTGTTTGCGGTTGCACTTATTCAAACACTGTTGTTTTAATAGAGAAACATTATTGCAATTTGGAACTATGGGAATTGCTAAAACTAGTCAACTAAAACCTGACTATTTTGACTAAATATGATAATAACTAAAAAGTACATTTGACACAGGACTAAGACTAATTTAAAATACTAAATTAAAAATGTCTGACAAAATCAATACTACTACTTTTAATATTACCTGATAAAAAATATTAGAATTTTCTGCAGGCATATATATTAGAATGTGGGAGTGATTCTACATGGAATAAAATCCGTTACGGAGCCGCAAGAGACTCCGGATTGGCCTTTAGTCCACAGCCATTTGTTTAAAATGGACTCTGGACAGAGGCAGCAAATTAACACAGGACTTTCCTGAGATGAAGGTGGATAAGCCCCAGTTACTTCTGGATGAAATGCTGTACAATGTTGGCACTGGGAAAAGCCAGTCAAACAGAAGAGACTAAACCTTCATTTGAATTGTCAACATTTTCAGAGAGACTTATACAGGATGATGCCTTCTCAAATAAAGGAGAGAAATTAGTTCCTCTGTTTTTGCAGAGTTCTTCTTTAATTAGAAAGTTAAATATTGGTCTGGGTTCTGGCTCGGTGCCTGGGGGGATGAGACAGCCTTGATTTATTACCAGCCTGCTAAAGGCTGTGACTCTCTGAGGTGCACGCAACCACCATACAGAGCTCTGCAGCCAAGCCAACTGTAAACCCAAAGCCAAATGCAGGAGAAAATGAGAGAAACCACCATAAACAAATCAACAGCTCATGGTCAATCAGGACTACATCTCATTTAAATTGATTCAAATACTGATTCATCACAAGAAAAGGCTGCTGAATATGAGATTTACAAACACATCCAACAAATCTGTATGTTTTGCGTTGCACTTCCAATAGTGATTCCATTAGACATTGATCAAATAAAGTCCAGAAACAACATAAAAAGAATGGTTGTCTAATAGCAGGTATTCTCAGAATTTGTGTACAGGCCATAATTAATAGCTTTCAATTATTTATAATAAATACCGGCATAATTAAATGCAACTAACTAGGAATGCAACAATATATTATGGTAGGCAGTTAATTCTAGAAAATACATACACTGTTGCATCACTGTTCTCAAACATATGCACAATTTATATACACTTTATATATTAATTTGTTAAAGAACAACAGTGCTAGATGGTGTTCAGTGACTCTTTCTGCTGGTTACATGGCTATTGTGAGTCATTTGGACCATTTACTGAACAGATTTGTTCAAAAATTATATATGAATGAAACAAGTGACTATCTATATGAGTGAGTTAACTTTAACTTAACTTAACTTAACCATTTAGTTCAAACACACAAATTCATTTAAGAATGAAACACCTCTATTCCATGTAGCTCAGAGAATGTTCAATGGTTCAGTTGCATACACACACACACACACACAGTCTGGTCAGCTATCCTTGTGGGGACTCTCCATAGGCGTAATGGTTTTTCTACTGTACAGACCGTATTTTCTATTGCCCTACACCAACCCT